TATCCATGCTTAAAAATATGATGAATTATTATTATATTTAATAATATGAGACTTTAAAGGCCGAAAATGTCCGGTCGGTTACGCGTCGCCAACCTCGATTTTGAAGCAAAAGAGCAATTTGCGGTAACATATCAGTACTGATCATGAACTCTTTGGCAATATTTGCTGAAAAGAGACTCTAGTGTTCAAGAAAATTGCCAGTTTGAACTGAAATGTTTATTATTGAGTGAGAAAAGTTATAAGAAAGAGGTGTCGCCACATTTGGCAACACATTTTTGCAGTTGTATTAAGTGCAGTGTTTATCTCGCCAAATGGAGTCAGGAGTTTCAAAACTGCCATCAAATTGTTCGCTGAAGTCTTCTTGACAAAACCATTACTGATAAGTCACTTTTTTTTACAATGAAAACTTTAATTTTTATGAAAACCAGTGATTTTTACGTGTGTAGCACTAATTCCTCACTACGCAAAAACCTCAATTTAATAGTATTTAACTAAAAGAAAGTCTCCAAAGTCTAGAAAACTTTTAAGGCAGCATTAATTCCACGTCACAACTCAAGAATTGCCAAGTTTCATCTTTTGTATCATCTTTAATCTCACATTTTTGAGTGTCGGTTACGCTGCGTCTGTTACGTAACCGACACAATTTGGCAGGGCCGCCTTGTTTGCGTGGACCTCCAGCAGTCCCGCGGGAAGCGCTGATACCTAATTCAATGGCTTATTTATCAATCACTTTAACTTTGCACTGAATCATTATAGAGCGTGCCAAAGCTGGGAAAAGGAAGTTTAATACCTTTAAGATGAGGTAATGAAATCCTGTTAAAATTGGTGCACTTTTATTTCTAAGGTATTTCACATTTTAACTATTCCTGTTATCGTGAAATCACCCTTAAAAGCTTTTATCTTAGCTAACACAAAACTTTAAGGTTCTATAAGTGGTTTTATAGGCTTCCTCGTGAAATTTCCTTCCAGAAATACCCCTTACATTTTAAAATGTAACGAATGAAACATCAAAATTTGAAATTTCAGTCAAAAATTTGATGTCCGCCCTCTCTAAGTTACTCGATCTATTGTGTGACGTGGCTATTGTGCGTGACCACGTATCTGCGTTTGTGACGTTTCAGTCTAACCGCCATACTTTGCTGTTTCCTTAGAAACCTGGCCAACTTATTTTTTTTCCCTATTGGCAGAATATTCCGTCAAGCTATAGAGTTGACTTTTTTCTCTTCGGAATAATAATATAGGATAAGAGATTTCAATAAAGATATGTGGTTTCGCACTTTAGCCATCGATAAATTGGCATGTGTCACATCTAAAAAGAATGAATTGCAGCACGCGTCGAAAAAACAAGCACTAGACAAGGTACGAATTCCAGCATTCTGATACATGCTTCTTCACCAAAATTTCACATAAAACACGATGCGCACAACGAAAATTACCGAAACCAACTCCTAACGAAGATATTAACATTTTTTTTTTCACATTGGTTACGAGGAATTTGAACTGCCCGTTCACAAGAAACTCAAAGCTCTGCGTGAGTCAAATCGCGCACTACAACGGTTTCAGCAATCTTTTCAATCGAGCAATGTTCATTTCCCGCCATGTGTTGTTCAAACTATAAGTAATTTGCTATAGCTGAGCCAAAGCGTCAAGATTGAGGTTGCCATGCAGATTTGTACATCGCAGAGACTGTCATGATAACGTTTAGCACATGATGTGAATCACGTAGAGCATTGAGTTTTCATGAGCGGGTGGTTTGAATACATACGCATCAAGAATTATTGAATATCTTCGTAAGGAGTATTTTGGTCCTCTTTGTTGTGCGCATCGTGTTCTACGTGAAATTTTTGTTCAGAAACATAAATCAGAATGCTGAAATTCGTACCTTGCCTAGTGGTCCATTCTGACGTGATAGCAAAGAGAGCAGCAAGTGTCAAATTTTCGAAATCGAGATTCCTTCAAGTTCGTTCAATCTTTTTTAGATGAAATCACTAAAATACCTAGCAAAAGTCATCTTAACTGTATAATAAAGTGACATATGAGAAAGCCGAAAAAACGCAAAAAATGATGTAGTTTTAGGCAAGATAGCAGGAAGTGATAATATTCCTCCAGAGAGCCAATGAACACAGTGCTTTCAAGTAAAATGCCGCCCTCTTCTGTCAATTCCTAACCTGAAAATGTGTTTGTTTTGTGTCCTAAACGCAACCACAAAAGCATGCAGAAGAAAGCAGTTACGGACGTCTTGCCTATAGACAACCTAGCATGAAAATGAAAAATACCCTTTATATGAAATAGGAATAAAATCAGTCGATTTTCAATCATCCAAACGATTCCTAGGAGTTTTTTGGAAGGGGCGCTTTGACGAAGGACGGAGGTTTCTTCCAATAAAATTTTCCCGTCTTTTAAGCGCTCAGCCGATAGGCAGCGCTTTTTGATTTCGACTTGCCTCTGAGTACTAGTATACTAGTGCTAATGCGTTTAAATGGCGCACCAGCTCATCGATGTGTAGGCTTTTTTGGGGGGGGGGGTCCATTTTTAAAATAAATAAAGCTGTGAAAACTGTATTTTATGCCTTTAACGTAATGCGCAGGTAGTTTCGATCGTTTGTCTATAAGAAAATTTCTTAGCGGTAGAGTAATTCTTATCGAAATTGATAATTGAACTCAAATGAAGCCTAAAAAAAACGCGCCTGATGAGCTCAACGGTGAGCTCATTTTCGGGAAACAAAAATACGCGTTTACGGTTTCCTTGGTAACCTTTGTTTGCTATCAGCTGATGTTTTATTTCCATTACCCAGCAAAGTCGACAGAGTTTATACGTCCTTTCTTCACTAAATACATTTACTGGTGCTAGGTCATTTTTCCTAAATTTTTTTTTCTTACATCAGGTTTTCCTATTACTTTTTTCCTACTCGTTTTTTGTCCTATTACAGTAAGTCCTACGAGTGAGATGTCCCACTGGCTTTTTTCATAAGGGTGTTTGTCCTAATAATTCAATAATAATTGAAACGTAAACATGAGTAGAGTACAGGGAAATTTTTCAGAAAGAGTAAAGTTTTCTCAGCGAGCCGAATTTAAGTGCGTGAACAGGAGACATTACAAGCTGAGCCTTCTATACCCTCAATATAAGGAGGAGGATGAAGCTCCACTACTTACGGGCATGTGGCCACAATTTTAACTTGTGAGGTACCTATGTTGTTTTTTTACTTTCTCGATCCTCTAGTTTTAAAATTGAATTTCGGACAAGTGCCCCTAGGAAAAAAGCCAGTAGGACATCTCACTCGTAGGAGTAACTGTGATGGAACAAAAAACGAGTAGGAAAAAAGTATTAGGAAAAATTGCAGTAGGAAAAAATGTTTTAGGAAAAATGACTTGCCACCACATTTACTAACACCTGAGCGCTTTTCTAATACGACAGTATTAGATCTTTCCCGCTTGTTTTCCCTCTGAGCCCGTTTTCTCAAAATTTCATATTTGTACTTACTGCCCTCTTTGCTATCACAGCAGAATTTACAGCACTATCGATGACGTCACCCTGTGTCTCCCTGATGTCATTTCAGCTTTGCCGTCGTTTTGTTGGTGTTGCTCCTCCATGCGGCGATTGGAATGAAAGAGAATGGCCCAGACTCCGAGAGAAATGGCACCTTCAGAAAATCCTCCAGCAATCTAAAAAGGAACAGTCAAAGCAGTGGATCCCTAACAAGGGGACAAAGTGGCTTAAACTCGACCGTAAATAAATCAAGAAGAAAGGATTACCATAACGCCAGAGCTATACACCCCCGCGCATCAGCGAGCAAGGCGGTAAGAATAGACTTATAGGACATCTGATATAAAATGTAATGGGTTATGTGTGAGGGGACCTTATTTTTCGGGAGCAAATTTTCAAAGAGATTCGAACTCAGGCGAAAATCGCAAAATCTGGGATTTTGAATTTTCAACGAGAAACGCTCTGTAGAACCCTCGGGGAAACTGCCGTGATAGTGAGGAGAGCAGTAAGGGTCAAATTTTCGAAATCCAAAGTCCCTCCAAATTCGTCGATCTCTGTTAGATGAAATTACTGAAATAGCTAAAGCAGCAAAATTCATCGTGGCCGTATCACTACGAGACGTACGAGACAGCCTTAAGTGGGCAAAAAATACGTAGTTTTAGGCAAGACTACCTGTATGCTATAGAAAATTGCCTGAGAAACAATGTAAAAGTGGGCGCGATTCCCTTTGGGGAAATGGTATAGCGGGTTTCACATTCTACCACACGGAGCTGAGCGCAAACTAAAGTAGCAATATATCGTGTGACTCACAGAAAATGTCAGCGCATATTCAACCAACAATTTGTCCGTAAATTTTGAACTTGCATGGCGCTTGTGATGCTTTGGACGGAAGGTGACAAAATGAGGGAGTGCCAACTCCCTGCAAGGCTTTAGGAGGATAGACGACTTTGCTGCCGTGCTAAGGAAGAACGCCGTAGAAGCCTCCAGACGTTGCCAAATTTTCTTCAATGAAACACGAAATTTCAGGGACATCTGTGAATATTTTACCTCCATATTTTCAGAGATTTTCATTCGAGATCGGGTCTAAATTATCTGAAAACTCCAAGAGAATATATTCATTACTCTCCTTAAAGATTAACATTTTTACAGAAAAAATTTGGCAACTCTCGAATGTTCATACGGCGTTTTTCCCTAGCACGGCAGTTTGGTGGTTAGGTGTCGCAGAACGCAGGAATAACGGCTTTTATCTACAGGGTTATTCAAAAGTCACGCACCACTGGCCGTAACTTTAGTTCTAATTATGATATCGATTTGCGGTTTAAAGCGTTTTTCCTCATATCGAGGTGGAAACCTTTTTAGGCGCTTCCCAGTTCTTGATCTCCTCGGAGAGAGGGGGGCGGGGGGCGACTCAAAAATTTCAAATGGCCACCCCCCTCATGGCCAGTGGTGCGTGACTTTTGAATTACCCTGTATACAGTAAGTTTATTCGTTGCTTTGATCAAGAACGTAGGGGAACAATCTCTAGTGAAGAGAATTTTTTGGGGGTCTTCGAACGGGTCTGGGAGACTGATGAGCTTATCTTCCAACGGCCGAGGCGGGAGATCTCCACGCCGTCACATGCACCTGAGAAAGCACAAATCACCGGACGGGAGAATGTTGCTTCAGCTGCATACTTCCGGTTGGATGAAACTCCACAACATTGAAATCAACTACGGTGATATCGTAGTCTGTCACACCCATAAATATGGCACGTTCAAGCAGCCGAAGACTCACTTCTTTCTCGCTGTCAGTGGGTGAGTATAACTTTAATCTGTTTCGTAAACGCTTCCTAATAGTGGAAGTCGACCTCGTGGGGCAGGAGGTGAACGTCCTATCATCTCCCATCACCTTTCGTCGCCTCCCTTTCCCTCTCGTCACCTCCCGTCGCCTCCCGTCACCTCCCGTCACCTCCCGTCACCTCCCATCGCCTCCCGTCACCTCCCCTTGCCTTTCGGCACCTCCCGGCACGATCACTTACCTCGAAAGACCGCCTGCGAAGAATAGGATTCCCGAAACTATGCCTTTGTTTCGCTTCCCTCTGCACGAACTCATGCGAGGTGACTGGTCGTGCCGGTCTCCCGGCTCATCATGCCGACTCCCGTCACCTCCCGTCACCTCCCGTCACCTCCCGGC